AATAAACATCATCATATTTGGTATCAGAAAACAGCTCAACATGTTCCTGTTTAATTCTGTTCTAATACTCATCGTTTAGCAGACAAACGCTGGGGAGTTGTAGCTCGGGGTAGTTTATACACCGTGTATAAAAATTTGTTTGTGTATGTTTAATGCATGTATATCTTTGGCACGAACATTTTCCGACACCCTGGCAGAAATACCATGGTATTCCCTAATCCCAAACCACTCCTAAAACAACAAAGGTCCGAGCAAAGATCAACACATATCTGTAGTATATTATAAATGTCAACGACCTGAGTAACTTTGCTTATTCTATTTATATGTTATTATTATAAGACTAATATATAGGTAATCCCTATTATTATGGTTAGATCGAATAGCACCAGTATTCGAAGTTAATAAAAGAATACCATCCCCTAACATTGGAACGTTAATAACTAAATTAAATATCGAAACCTTTATGTATGAAATACTAGAATCTTTATCTACTAAAATCTTTATCTACTATCTACATTTGAGTACCTCCTTCAAGGATTACGATCCAGTCATGTAAATAAATGTAAATATTAAATATTAGTATGCGAGAGTAAACGCTTATGCATAGACGAATAATTTATAGATAAAGATTCAAATATTTTTTTATAAAAACGAAGACGGGGAACTCTGACTCGACGATGTATTAACCTGTACGAGTTCGTACGTTTAAAAATAGCGTGTAATAAATGTCATTTCTCCACTGATAAACCTTGATAAATCAACACTGGCGACACTTTTTGCAGAAAACTATAATATCGCCTGCTGCCGCCACTTACCGCAAACTCTTGTATAAGGCATCTGCTGGAGCTCAATTGAATGTTACTTACGTAGAAACTTATAAAACGTTGTTACTTGAACTGTAATATAAAGTGTTTCTTTAGTTTTATGAGTATTTACAGTGAGTACAGAAGATTATCTACAAATCTATACAAAGGGGTGCCGTAAGAAGCAACGCAAGCGAAATTTTTCTGTTATAGTGTTACACATTAGACGATTGTTGAAAGATATCCTGTAACTATTACTATGACAATAGTCCTCCCAACGTAATCGAAAGTATATCATTAATTAACATGCCGAAATTATACGATTATCTAACACTGCAGCTCATATATAAATTGAATATAAAGTAGTAAATACCTAGTTATTGGCATGATCACTAAAACGTTAACATTTGTATAATTGTTAATGAGAAATTCTAATAAAAAGCCCAGAGAAAAACTTTTATTTTGTTACATGTAAACGATCATTTTTAGTTAAATAAAAAAATTTCTTCTATTTTGCAAGGTCCCCACAAAAAAATTGCGACACTTTATCATAGTTGATAAAAATAGGCTAATAATAAATCGATACCTAATATGAACACAGTTAAGTAGCGTTGAATAACTGTTTATGTTTTCTGTAAAAAATATTGCATTATAGAGAAAACAATTTTATATAAAATATGAACAATATAATAAGTGTAAAAAATGCATAAATGTCACGTATTGCATTAGAAGTAGACCGCAGATTTTATGTATTTATGAGACACGTATATGAAATACAAAAAAGAACTTAAGAATCTGTTTCATTATAACAAATTTGTTGATATTATTGATAGAAGAAATATATTTTTATTTAACTTTTGGTTAATTTTTATTTTGCATATCCGCAGTCTACTCATAAGCGGACATGTAATTCTTCAATAATAAGCATCACGTGATGATATTAGGTATTAATACGAAGTAGAATCGGTAGGTCATGAATAGACGCGTTAATAATTTCATGGGATTTCACGTTAGCGTCAACACGAAGTAGAATCGTTAAGTCATGAACAGACACGTAAGCAGATCCTTTTTTAGAACGTTCGCTATCAGCTCGACAATAGTCTGCGAGTCTCAACTAGACCGAGGATTTTATGCATTTATGGCAAAATCAATAGGGCTGTTACGAAATGGTGAACGGTAGCGTTCTGGTTTAACGCGGGCAAAAAACTGTTCTTATGAGCAAACCGAATTGAAAAGATTGACATAACTTAACGAAATTATAATAACACAAGTATCAGACAAATATTTAAACTCGATTTTAGAACGGAAAGGTAGCGTTTCCTTTTCCGCCTTCTTGTTTGTTCGCTAAATTTTCTCATTGTTCCATTCCGTGATACTCCGTGCACGCAACACGGACACATAGGAAAACAATTTCTATAGAGTTATGTATTGATTTCGGGGCGAATGTTCTGAGGAACAGAGATATCTCCAACGAACAGACGTCTGTACGTCTGGAACGCAGACTCAGTGTTTCGCACGAATGACTACACCATGCATGCAACGCACAAGTGTCTACCGTATGTAGCATGTTATGGGCTCTGACACATTCGACATATCTATGTGTCTGATCGGACGATCGCATTATTTCACAACGAAGGCTTTGATCGTAGTGAACATGCGATTCGTGAAACACAATCGAAAAGTATGTAACATTCTTATCGTTGTGAAGAAGCATCGAAGCTTCGGTTTGCGCGTAGATTCTGCAATCTTATCGTACCTTTAGTGAGTCACCTCTCATCGAGGTTTATCGGGAAAATATTTTATTTGTTTGGTAGATTTAGATTGCCAAACAGTTCTTTCTTAAACGCATCTAAGGAAGATTCATTCGATCTTTCTTTATATGCAAAATATGCTAAATTGTACACAAGATTTAAATAAAGAAATCAAATCAAGACAAATTGTGTGCTGAAATTCTTGTAAGGCAACTGAATGATCAAGTAGTCACTTTCTTTTTATGGAGTCATTAGATGTCACGATTATTCAACTTATGTTTAAGCAATGTTGTCTATATATTTGTATGTAGTGAAAGTATTAAAATATGATCATTTATTTGTAGACTGTCAAAAACGAATGGTAATTCTCAGTTTAAAATCTTTCGTACCCCTTTAAATATTTTTCTTCCTTCCCACCGTTTAGAAGCATCTCTATTTTTAATACTGTAAATTAAATTTCCCAAGTAAACTTTAAGTATTCAGTACTACCGTTTACAGCTTTTCCATTCTTAATCTCTGTACACATGTTTATGTGTCATTTCTTTTCTGCTGTATAACAAGAACGTCAGATATCAAATTATCATAAACATTTTTCAAGAATAACGTCTTACAACTATCGAACGGTATGAGAAAAATGTGATTCTTAATCACTTGTACACACAGTTTTATAGTATGAAGTGTTACTAAACCTCTCTTCGAAAAATTATGAACAAGAAATTTTTTAACACCATCACAATTCTCGGGTTTGTCACTATATAATTTATTTTTGCTTGTATTAGTCTTCAGAGACAAATTTTCTTAGTCAAGATAAAAGATAAATAAAGAAATATCTTATAAAGTAATGAAAATAAAAATAGCTATAAACACCAGAATTGATACAAAATAAAATAGCATTATTTTTTCTTCAAATATTTGTAATGCTACAGTAAATTGTAAGAGTGATCGATAATCAAATTATCATTAACAGCAAATATTGTATCCCCACCCACCCCTCCGATTAACTTCCGGTATACTTTTGGAAAGTATATAATACAAATAGGAAAATAAATATTTTGTAATAATTAAGATATTGAAATAGATATAATTACATTGATTTATAGCCAATAAACTGCGTACGAATATTTCATGCAGTTGATTTTTAGCTGTCGTCAAGAAAGAGCAAATAATATGAAATACAAATGCTGTTTGTTAACAGAAGCATTGCTACGGTTCTGTCGAATCATTTATCATGATACACTTATAGACGAATTGCTGTATTCCTCTGTAACAATGCTTCACTACTTACCTTATTGATCCTTATCAACTACGAGTGAAAGTTTTACCAACAGTAAAAATTCAATAAATTCATTTATGTTATGAAACACAGGCTGATTCACGTTTCAGCCGTAATAACCGCATATTTCCAATGTACAAAAGAAGAGACATGAATGCGTAACATCTAACACTTCTTTAGAATGTTACAGTCAGTACTATAGTCAGTATAGTATATAATTATTATAGCCAGTAGTAAAACAGTTCAGAAATTTGCAGCCCCGACGAAAGTCTTGAAATGCAATGGCGATAATTTGCCTTGTTGTGCACACAACTAACAATTTTCCTATCAATCACGAAAAACTTTAACACGATTAAGTAACTTTGCAATGAATTTCAGAGACAGTTTATATTTTGTCTTATTTATGATTGCGTGGTATTAAACATTAACACGTAAAGTGTAAACTCGCAGCGAAGCAACACACGGTGTTAACTGTACAGGGTATGCAGTTATTAGACGATGATACAAAAATGAATAAAAAATGAGGAATGGAGTTATCTAAAATTAAAATGAATTAAAACTTTTTTGTTTGTTTGTCTACTAACGCAATAAACACATTTGCTTATCGTGCATCACATTTTGTGAAACTTTGAACAATGGATTTAGGCGTCAGCGTTTTAATGATGCAAATAGAAAATGCATTAGAAAAATGACGAAGGTTTTACAGAAATCTCATAAAAAATAATTCAATTGAATTGAGTTTAAACTGAAGCTTGCTCTTTATTCAACTATTCATGATTCTTCAGTTTATTCTTTCTGTATTGTATAATGAAGAATAGCAAGTCTCTATTTTTCTAAGAATATTGATTAAAATAGAATAAGGACATTAAAAAGTGACTTTATTCCATTTCCTTACATTTTTAATTCATTTTATCACGAAAAATCGTCTGAATTGCGTCAAGAAACACCCTATATTAGAAATGAAACACAAAAAAAGCGATTTCCAAGCTGTAAAACGTTTGAACATGTTAATAACAGCGGTGAGTACACTCAGTAATATTTAAAAATAATACTTGTGGGACTTTCAATGTTTACCAGGTAATGTTCCATGTTTTGTCTAGCATAAGCACATGCAGTATCTGAAAATAATGGGCCACAGGCAGCGATAGAAATGTGAAAAGTTGATATACACACCCCATTTCGTTGGCTGCTTGATTATTGTTATTGGCCGATTCACCGTTCACATTGTTATTAATCGTGTTCGTATTATTAGTTTGCTGGACCGATTGACATGCACCCAACCGAGAGAAAAGATTATGCCAATCTCTCATCACAATCTCACGTTGTGATCGTTCAATTTCGCTCATATCCTGCAATGGTATGGTCGAATCCACCCTAAAATACAAAGAGATTTCACGTTTTAGATAATGTGTAGATCAGGTGAACTTAAAGATGTATCATCACTTAAATGATAACATTACTAAAAGAAGACTAGAAGTTAATAGCGAAAAGCAGATCATTCTGAGAAACAATGTTCTTTCATGTTCAGTATCGTCTTCATGATTTGATCAAGGATTTTAATGGTACCACTTATTTGGTCACGTCGGAAGGATAAAAACTGTTAGAAAAACTTGTTTCGAGGTTTGTCACTTGAAAATACTCACCGATGGTGTTCATCGAAGGAACTCGCGTCGCTTTGTTCGTAATCCAATATCAAATCGTCAGATGCGATTGATTCGCAAGGAGACAGAGTGTCGACACTGCCTGTTCGACTCATTCGTTTGCCATGGTGTGGGCTGTTCGTTGCGTCCTTACTGTATCCCGCAGCTGGAAAATGGAGCAATTGGTGAGTATTGCTAGAAAATGTCCAACTTCTAATATACAGGGCGAATCTGGTAACTGGGCTAGCCTATAACTCTGCCTCTGTTCCAGAGAGCAATTTTGTATTGCTTATCAACCACTATTGTTTAACACTTTGATTGTCTACAGATCAGCGCAGTTGCAAACTGAAATTTTTTAGACTTTTTAAATGAAACGCTAAAATATTGCCAAGAAACCTTATACAGTGTCCAGTACCGCGGACTATAACTGCACTCAAGTGGGTTATAACTATATATTTCAACGTTAGTTGATATTGTGTAATATGAAGTAATTTTAAAAAATTCAACTTTTTGATATTGTCGCCTAATAAAATTAAAGTTTAATTGTAAAAAATAAAATAATACCCTTAATATTAGTAATCCAAAAAATGTGTGCTTTAGTTGGGCAATTATCGTGATAGAGAAGACTTCTTCTCAAGGTCATATTTTCCAATATTTCAAGCCACATAATTCATACATCCACAATAATCCACAATATTCACACTAATGTATGAATGCTATCATTCCATTCAATTACCATAATCGGCCTAATCTGAAATGCACGGATAACTACTATCCAAATTAAATTGTGCGATGCAACGAACTAAACCTTTGATGATCAAGGTCGTTGCAAGGTCATGTTGTTGCACACTTCTGAACATATCTTTTGATTAGCTGCACGATGCGATAAAAAATATCAATGACCTTTTAGAACTGCTAAAAATAACTTCGAAAAAGATATTGTGAGGATGTTGAAAGGTGAGCCCGTTTAACTGAGACGCCCTGTATCTCGACAAAACAGAAAATCCTTAAACGAAAATAATCAATCCTCTTTACCTGCTTTAGGACTGGATTCAACTAACGTATGGCTGTTTTCGGTAACAAGCTGGCTGGCTACAATAGATTGCGCTTCAGCTCCGATCCTTATGTTCTCGTTCAAAATGAGCCCCGGCTGATCAGCGATCTCGTCGTCGAAGAATTCCCTGCCCTCCGACAAGCTCAACGAATTCGAGGCATTAGTAGGCGTCCCAGGGCTGTCGTCGTCCAACGTATTTACGGACTGTTCCATGGGTTGCTCCTTTCTTGGAGCTTTGACGTCCGATTGCGTAATACTGGCTGTAAGACTGTCGAAGAGACTGTCGACGGGAGAGGTCTCGTCATCTATCAGCGAGGTAGACGTAGCTGCAGCGGCGGCGAAAGCAGGGTCTTCGATGGTGAGCAACACCGACCGCAGCGATGTCCTTGGCATCGTTCCGTTCTTGGCCGGGTTCGCAGCAGCTTGCATGTGGTGAGCAACGGAAGAGGAACGGTGGCATTCGTCGCTGGAGCTCAACGAGTACTCGTCGGCCATAGCTTCTCCGTGTCCGTACTCAGGGTCGTCGGAGCTAGGTGGGCTGAAGTCCGACTTGATGGAGGGAATCTTTTCCGATCGAGACCTGTCCTTGTAAACCTTCTCCTCACCCAGTCCCTCGTCGTACCCTTCCGACGATGTGGTGGACATAGAGGTGGTCGATTCCGCGTGTCTGTTATCTTTGTTCACGATTCTTTGATACTGTGTCGTTCGTTCTCTCACCAGGCCAGTGTTGGCGGCCGTGAACGTCTTCGGCAGCGGGATCACCGATATCTCGGTGACCGTACTGTCGTCATCCCTGACGTCCCTGACATCGAAGCTCTTCCCGTTCACCACCATCCTCAAGTTCCTAGGCCTTCCTATTCCTCGCCTCCTGCTCGGAGAGCCACCGGTGTAATCGTACCCTCGGGTGACGGTGTCGTCCACCATGCAGCCTTGTTGACTTCCTACGCCAGAGTCTTCGGTGCTCGAGCCTTCCTTCGAGCTCGTAGAACCCTTCGATGCGGCAGACACCTTCCTGTTCTGATTGGCTGCTGTTTTCGCAGTTTTGGAGTTCGCGTTGGTCATCCTCACGGCGAACTGCGGCAGCGGCAGGTGGCTGGTGTGCAGAGTGTACCTGCCGACCGGCTCCGGAATACCCGATGGCCTTCGGTTCCCGTCCACGTGGGAGACGCTGCCCACATTGTTGTAAATGGTCACGCTACGCGCCGGCGACCTGATCTTCGATGCTGGCAACGAACTGCACACCACCGGCGCTACTCTCTGCGTTTGCTTCGGGATGCTCTCTTGCTGATGTTGCTGCAAGGTCTCCTGGTTGTAGTGGCTGACCGTGTGGCTGCTGCAGATGTCTCCGACCTTGTTCGTGAACTTCACCTGCGGCTGCTTGTACCCGAAACGGTTCGTCCTCACCGCAATCCCGGTGGCGTCCTTCTTCGGCGGAGCTAATCGAGGCGTCGACCGACCCGACGATAGGTTGCGTATGGCGCCCGCGTTGTCTTCGTCGCGCCTACGATTCTGCTCGGGACCGGCCGATTTCGATCGTGGCTGGATCAGGCTGGACTCCGCTGAGTAGGTCGATATCGCCATGGGGATCCCCGTGGCCTGTCTTCGTCGGAACCCGAACGACGTGGCCGCACCCCGCCTCGAGCCCTTGTTGCAATTCTAGAAGAAATAAACACGGCTTTCAGGATTTCGCCAATCAAAGCTGATACATACAACTTCTTGCCGTTGTCCCCCGCGATTGCTGCCGATCGATAGCTGTCGTGTTTCACGTCGCCGGTATTTTTAGCGGCCGTGCTTGTGGGAAGTCGCACCTGGTTTTAGTCAAAATTGTACATTAATTAGCTGTGGCTGTTTTCCAACCTGTAGTGGTCAGGATAATTGAACCAGTTATGGTTTCAAAAAATCATTAGCTGAAAAAAGCCCATCAACGGGGGACCAAGTTTTTTTATTTGGTCTAGAAATTTATTGTGAAATGCTTCAGTTGATAAAGCAATGTTTTAATTATGCGCGATTTGTTAATGAATACGTATATTTGCTTTTACCTTTATGCGCGTTGGCATGTTTTTTACACTTCTTGTTTTTTTTTGGAGTAGCACAAGCATCAGCAGATTTTACATTTATTTGAGTTTAGGAAACGATTAATACTTTAACTTCGTTACATTTTATTTTCGATTCGGTTTTGTACCATTTCAACGTTATTCACAAAAGAATATTCTTTTATGTTAGTTTGTTTCTTTTTGTTCTTTACAGCTATAAATCTTATAGCACAAAAACATTTGCATCATCTTGTCGAATGTTTCTGACTAGTCTACTTTTTGATAACGGTTCGAACAAGTACTTCACTTTTAATATTTTAAAAATACTTGTTTCAATACTCAGAACTGGTTTGTTTAGTCCTCTGAAATACGTAACAATCGACTTAGGCGCCTTAACTCTGCGTTTGGTTCATCGCATAGCATCAGAAAGTACAAACAGCATTTCTAGAACTTTGCGACTGGTAAATGTAAATACATTTATCCTTGCTGTTATCGATATCTTGTAGCATAGGTCTTTGGACGGAATATAGTTTGTCGGGAAAATATTCGGTCACCTATTAAAATACAATAGTCCAACTTTTTTGAAGTTCGACGAAACGACCAGAATTTGTTTTTGATGTCAAAAGGACAAGTTCACTAAACAATGGGATTTATGCCATTTCAGCAAATTGCAATTTTTCTGTTTATCTAGTAAATTTGTCAGTTCAACATTTCAAAAAAATTCATGTCATATCTCAAAAAAGTTATTAAATCATGTCCGAATGTTATCGTTACTCACTGCAGCTGTACACGGAAAAAATGGCGGCGATCCTGAAAAATTGTTTAGGAATTGCATCGCGTACGAAAAATATTTTGATGGACCCATTAACAAAAAAAAATAATAAACATATACAAATACACAGCGAATACACAGATGCGTACTGCAAAAGTATAAATGTTCTGTTTTATGAATCGCTTATTAAGTAACTTGTGTTATATATTAATATACAATCCGTGGACTTAAAAAAATTTGATAAATCATTCAACGAATTTTATTGTGGTTTATTACTCTCAGATAGTCCTAACTAATTTGTATTGTTATGTGCTATATGTATAATTCGCAAAAATTCCATCATCTGGAGAATTATACAGAACCGAAAGTTAATATATTCCACAATCATTCGATTGCAAGTATTCTGTGATAAATGGAAATTCCTTAGTAAGGTATAGAAATTCAAAAAGTTAAAAGAATCGACTTGTAAAATACATTTTCAATATTTAATGATATTTCAAAATATCGTTGAAATTTACAGCATGTCTTTTAAATGTAGTTTTTAACAATCTCTAGAACAAATTAGGTGCTGACAAACTTCCACGTAACTATACGATTAACTATATAACGAAATCTACTTTGTTTGTTCAATAAATTACACAAAGAAGACAAAAAGATTGTCTTTACAAATCTGTACACTTGTTCCGTAACATCTTTTGAAAACATTTATTATTAATATTTTTCACAGACTAACGCGATAACAGTAGATAAACATAAATAAAGTAAATAAACCGTTTGCAAAATTGTTGATATAATAATATATTTGGCAATAAGCAAATATCAATTCTTACAGGCATGGAAACGCCGCGAAACCGATGGCAGAATTTATTATTTGTTTGCAATCGATAAAGTACGTATGACGTGAAAGAGTGATTCATAAGCTAAGTAGAATCGGACATCAATTCTTCAAACCACGTAGAACAGCGAGAGATGTGGACGTAAGATTTGATACCGCAATCGCCAATAGCTTGTGACCGGCGATAACGAAGCAGGAAAAGTAGAAGGTTCAAAAACATTAAGTAACCCGATTCAAACTCCAGAAATAGAGCAACCGCGTTCCCAAATCAACCAACTCTGCGCTTTTCAGACACTCGTTCTAGTCGAGACAGTCGAGAGTGTCTTCGAGCTTCTTATAACACGTTCCTAACAAGGAGCCGATGCTCAATTATATCTGCGAGCCGTCCAATATTGGGAAAACTCAAATTAACAAGACAAGTTCGTGACCTAACAATCTTACTGCACAAATGTAAGATGACACGATTAGATACTTTGAAGTATCTGCTTTCATTTCCGTTCACTATTCCCTAGAAAATTAGGCATAGTCTACTTGTTAACATCTGAGCCGACAGTCTGTTCACCAATTTCATTCTTTAACAAAAATATAATCGAATATGCTTAAGATCATTTATAATCTTTTTTTTACCAATTTCAACAGATTTTTCAAGATACTCCTTCGAATTACATTAATTTTCCTAATGGTCCCAACGAAATATGTGAAAATTTAAATTAATTATTAGAAACTAGGCTCAAATACACACAAACCCCGCCTTCCATAATAATCAACAATTTAGAAAAGACAATAATGAGTAAATCGAAGCTTACGAAAGGTGGGAAGGTTGAAAGCGTAACTGCTATAGCAAATGCTCAAACCAATGTTCTCGTTTTCTAGAAGGAAAAGTATGACTGTTTTGGTGAAATTTTTGTGCCGGTCTTGTAATCAACGTGCGAATCAGGAGAAAACCGTTCGAATTAAGATTTGTGATAATCCTGATTTAGCAAATCTTGTAGAACCTCTTGAATGCTAATCTAATTTAATTTGTTCAATATCTCATTTCCATAAATACATTTCGATGAATGTCACGATTAAATTCGTACGAATATTTCCTTTTTTGAATAGTATATTTATAAATATCTTTTTTATTAATAGTTATTTATATAGTAGATTTTTTATTAATTTATATCCTTTTTTGAATAACCAAATGACTATACGTATACCAAATGACAAATACGTATACGCTGACAACAATAGAAATTATGTAAATCTTCGTTTTTGATGAACCAGTCGTTGTTTTGTTGTGCTGATTAAATTCAGACATTATTTTTTAAATCGTGTACTAACAAATTTCATTAGAACGTTTTCCTTAAACTATTTAATATAAATTCATGAAAGTTATGCTAAACCGGCTACAGAACATCATCTGCCAGCGACCTAACGAACAATGTCGAAGGTCGTCTCAATTATGTAAATTCTTACTGCTTGTGATTTCTATAAAAACCTTACAATATGTTGATAAAAAATTACTATGTTTTGTAGATTTATATTCAATATCATATATGAAAACTTTACAAATCGCATAGCGAGACGGCTTATATAAACAAACTCAAAAGTTTACAATTTGTGAACAATATTATCAACATTAGAAGTTTCGCTCGCTATTCAGTAGAAGCGTTTCAAATGAAACTTAAAAGTTTATAACACAATGTTACGATCTTTATCTGCATACAGTAATCTTTAAAGCAACTTCCACTTCCTACCATAACGCTATTAAGCTGAAATATTAAGTTCCGCGAATTTTTAGTGTTGCGTCATTTTGCGAATGTACGGAAACGCGACAAACGAAGACCCTTTCGTCCATAAGTTTTTATGAACAAATAGAAAATATTGTAAATCATTGCTTCAGATTGTTAAGGGATTTAAATAAATACGCCAACTCGGTAAATAAAGTCGATGGAGCAACAGAAATTACCTAGCGTAAACGTTTATCAAGCCGGCTTTTGCGCAGGATCACAAACCTGGAAGACTAGAACTTGCACGTAATCACACGACAGCGTGGTTTCTTTTGCTCGAAATAGTTCCGATTTAAATGTCTCGATGGTATAGAATATCATTTCTGCTATTGCGTGTACTAATAGAAACTGAGAACTAAGAACAGGAATTTCGATAGCGAAACGTCAGAACATCGAAAAGACAGAAATAATTTGAACTTATGACATAACTGGATTTACAGTCCATAGAGAATTAACGAAGAATCCTTTCTCATTCCCGCGGCATTAATTAGAATAGTCACGTTCATCGCGACAATCCAATTGTTCTTAGACGAATTCTGTCGCACCTCCACGCGTCACCATATGTTCAACTGTTACAGTTCATCCATAACAAACAACCACAGCTTTTCCAATTCCTGACATCGGTCTTACATCGTCTGCTATTCCTTCAAAACTTCTTAACATTTCTTACGTCATCAATCAAAAGATATAACGGATAAACTAAATTTATCTTGCAATTGTTTGTACCATCGGCATCGCAGTGATTGAACTGACGAATCACACGTCATCGACAAGGTGCAATCTACTTGCGAACTATTAAACCATCAATTCCTACCGAATAATATACGTGTACTTGCCTCGGATGGCATACGTCACCATCGGATAACCTTTGACATTGCCGGATGACCGTCTGTCTATTACACCACACTACCACGCACTCTCTCTCTCTCTCTCTCTCTCTCTCTCTCTCTCTCTCTCTCGTTCGATGCTATCCGAATTCGAAGACGGTGCTCGAACAAAACAAAACAGCCCGATCGAAGAACTCGGCGTCTGTTTTGACGTTAGCTGTATCTACCTGTACCGGTTCTTCGTGACTATTTCAAGACCGTAAATCGATATTAGAGCCGTACACCGCCGAGTGAAAGAAGCACGCGACAGCGGCAGCAACCTAGTCCAACCGACGACGTCCGATCGCGTCCGAGGATGGACATTAGCGACGTCAGGGTAGAGACATGCTCGGGAAACAGCGATCTTCACGATCATGAAGAACAAGAAGAAGAAGAAGAAGACGAAGAAGAAGAAGAAGACGAAGTCGAAGACGAAGAACGGATCGGTAAGCGTGGCGAGAAACATAGAAGATGCAAGCACCCTTACCGCAACACCTCTCTCGACTGCGTTCTCATCGTCGCACCGGTGTCCATCCATGGGGTCAGTGTCGGGCTCCGGATAAGTTCACTGTCGGATCGTATCGGGTCGGGTCGGGTCGGGCCTCGCGGAACAGCACCTAAAACGAGCGAAACGAGTCCATGACCAATAACGTGGTCCATGGATTTCAGACCGAGCACCGTCCACATGTGGGTCATGGAACAAGCGGACGCGTTTACGAGAGTGTGCTCGCGCGATCGATTCCGGCTCGTGGAGACGGTTCGGTTTGTTCTCAGCTTACGTTTCCCTCTTCTAGGTCCGGAACGCCGTCATCCTGCCGCACCGTGCTGCGCGTCGCGCGAATATTTTTAACCAGGGGAACACAAGGGGACGAGGCTGATTTCGCGGCAATCCCAGGCAAACCTTCCCCGTGGATCTGTCAGCTCGGTGATCCGGAGATCTCGCACGTTCTCGTCGTCGTCGTTCGCGTCGCCGACGGAGGACACACGCGCACCGATCACCCGACTCTCTTCGACTCTCTTCGACTCTCTCTCTACCTCCCCCACTCGGTCTCCTTCTCTCCTATCTCCCCCGGTTCTATCGCGATCGCTCGATCTCCGTCGCACTTTTGTCACAGCCACTTCGCCTCACCGTTTCTAGCCAGCTCGCTGTCTTTCTCGCCGCTGTCAGACCCGCTGGTGCCTCTCGGCGAGCACACCGAAACGTGGAATCGATCGAGCCGACTGCGCCGCCGCGGCGTCCCGACGCCACCGTCGCACTCGCCTTCGCTGCGTATACTGATTCCACTCGTGCGCGCGCGGGCGCTCTCGCCCCCGACTTTCCTCCTTCTACATATATCCGCTACCGAAAGAGACCAGGGGAGGACACCGAACGATTTTTCACACTGACTTTCGCCGCGCTGCTTTACCACCATCAATTCGTAGATCGTGGCCACCCTTTCGTTGCGAAACAAAGTCATCCTTTTGCTAACTCATTCTATCGTCGAATGGGATTCGCTCTTTCGCGAATGGAATTCGCTCTTCCGCGAATTAAATTCACTCTTTCGCCAATCAAATTCACCCTTTCGCGGATTAAATTCACCCTACTGCGAACGATGTTGTTCCACGAACAGGTTAACGCGTTCGCTTCCAGGATCGCACACGTGCGACAACTACGATCTTGTACTTCACGTAAAGAACGTTTAAATTCGTTTCGTCCGTCGTCGTTGTTTAACCCCTTGCCGTACCATTTTCTTCATAATTAAAATGATAAGCACATTTTCGATTATAATAATTCCTTCAAAAAAAGAAAGAGATAATTTATATTTATCGTGTGTCTACATTTACTGGGATGATTAAAATATTGATCACAAGAGGACGGAATTTTATTCCGGCATAAAAAACGGAATAACATTGGTATTTAATAGGATATTACTAGAAATCTGCACACCACGGTCTGACTCGTTAAATTACGGCGAGGGGTTAATATTGCGACCCGCAGAACGGTGTTCAGAGAATTTACCGATTTCCTTTGATTTCTATAAGGAGATACGTTGGACATAATAAATATAATTGTGGAAGCGAATTGGTAGCGAACGCGTTAACAGTGAACCTAACGAGCACAAAAATTAACAGACGTGCACTGTTTCATTAGAATAACGACAACTTTTTCGAGAAGGTTCATGACCATTTTGTTCCGACAATATATAGAAAGTATGAGGGTTAAAGAAATCATTTGGATCAATTTTAACTTTCTAGGTTCAGTGACTGAAGCACAATAAATTCTCTCTAATTTTCCTTCAGCTTGTAAACAAAAATGGACAATTCAGAAAGAGGAGATACGATTTTCGAGTCTTGCATCTCGTTTTTATAATTGTTGGCAATCGGAAATTGGAATAATCGTATCTCCTCTTCCCAAATTGTCCATTTACTGTACTTTGAAGTTGTGGGAGTCTTAGGGGATAGCCAAATGCACTTGCTAGGCGTTGTTGATTGTTCTCAACGTTGCGTTGTTATGTTTCAGGTTATTTTTCAGGGAAACAGGAGACAGATAGTCAGACACTATTTCGTTTGCGGTTAATTTATGACAGGGATGAGGGTTGAATAGCCTCTTAAAATGTCGTCTCTCCGGCGGACAATCCCCAGACGGTGGCCGACGACTCGAAGCTGTGCAGACGTCGGATGTGATGCATTCGTTGACACCATGTTTAGAAAGCTGAGAAGATTGAACTATAACAGGCAACTCTCCGCCATGATGTTTTCTTAAAGAATAGGGGTGTTCTTGAAGAATAGTACTCCTAGAATATTGTAGGCAACTTTCCGCCATGATGTTTTCTTAAAGAATAGGGGTGTTCTTGAAGAATAGTACTCCTAGAATATTGTAGGCAACTTTCCGCCATGATGTTTTCTTAAAGAATAGGGGTGTTCTTGAAGAATAGTATTCCTAGAATATTGTTCCTAAATGATTTCGACACGGGGGTGTGGGAGAAGGGTGTCTTCTGGTAAGATGACTGTGTTAAACAGCTCACAACTTACTCTAGGATAGTGATTGAACGAGTTACAGTTACAGTAATTTCTCCATAATTCGCACTCGGTTTGCACACAAAAATGGACAATTTGGGAAGAGGAGATGCGATTACTCGAGTCTCGCGTCTCGTTTTTATAGTTGTTGACAATCGATAACTATGCATTTTTGTGCGCAATCTGAGCGCAAATTAGGGCGAAATTAATGTATATCCATCTAAATCTCTGATGATTAGGTGACCTGTCCACGAATGAACAGTTAAGCTGCATGTTTTAATATTATTATACATTTCTGAAAATAGTTCTCGTATTCTTCGATAGTTGTAGCTTTTTTTTAAAGTTAATCAAATCAATAAATTTATACAAACTTGCAATTGCAAGACTTCTTATGGGAAATGTTTATTAAACATAAAACACGAAAAGAAAGAATATCACAGAGAACTTATAGCTGCTCTAAATATCGTGCTATGTGCTGGAATTATAAGTAAGCTCATGTACAAACTTAATTCAATTTTCTTTGCACGAAATACGAAATCTTGGTTGTCACAGACAGGTGACGCTCGTAGCGAACGTGTCTAAGAGGCATTCTACGAGCACTATAAAACACATCTCTCTTAAGTTTTCTTAGGGGATTTTTTCGCAAAGAAACTATAATTCTAGTAACTTCCTTATACGTTTTTTTATATCTACATTTATACATATTTATGCATAACTGCAAAAGGCGTCCATGATAAAATCAATATGATTAAATGATACGTAAGTAAAAAAACTGGACGAGCTCTTTCTCTAACTGAAACACGTGATGTGTTCGATGTAATTAGAAATACTTTATTTTGGCAGTGGTTACGTATTTTTCAAAGAGAAAGCAGCGTTGCATCCTATATTTCATGGTGACTGGTCCGCTAGCCAAAAATGTTAATGCGTTTGCAGTCGGCATTGCCTTTTTTCGTTTTGGAATACAGGCGACATGGAACACCGGGTTCGAGAAGATTGCCAGAAATGGTGAAATGCTTTTTTAGATTGAAAGCAATACCGAAAGGCGTAAGAAAGCAAACATATTTGTCCAGTTTTAGGTCTTTTGATAAAATCATACCTATACTTTGTTATTTAGATTAGTATCTGAAACGAACTTTTCAATTTTATAAAAAAAATGTAATTATACAGATATTATAAAATTTCTGAAGTTTTAGATTAAACTCCTTTCCAATGATTCTTTTTACGAATTTGATGTTGCTGTACCTAAAATAGACAATAATCTAACGGAACAATGTATAATTCAAGAGATATTTTCCTACACGTATTGTTGCGACACGATTCAAATATCTTCATTACATAAGCTGATTTGACATCTATGTTATCAATTTTAATAAAATTATCATTTTCTCCGAATGCACAAGTAACAGTGAATGGTTTTGCTTCACTTTCCGGTGATTAAATTAAATGAACAGCTGTATTTTCGACTTCGAAGATTGACAAATTAAATATGTATTTATTGCATAAAATATCATGGTAAAAGGTAACTCAAGATCGATGAAAATGGATTCGACAACGTGCACCATACAAGTTAAGAAAAAAAGAAACGTTATTCTTGTATATACATATGCAAAATGATACTAAATAGGAATCAGTAAGCTCACTTTTTGTTGCTATCTTATCGATGATTGTTTTATCTCGACAAAAGCTACTTGATCTGGATTTAGTTTCTCGATCCTATCTTATCGAACGTATTTATTTTAACAATCTTAATCTACAGCTACTACTACGTTATTCTTTACCATATTTTTCCGACGAATCCTTAATATCTGGAAAGTTTGTTTATCGTTCATGCACACTACAGGTTTAATTTACATGTTATTAGATCAACAACGATAACAGAAGTTATTAGATCTGCAAAATCCAGTTTGTATTATCAATAATTTTGCTATGTGATCAACATTTTTATATTCAATTGGGAAATACGGTATAAAAAGGGTTATATGTATAGTATTAATGATATGGAAATAGAAATACATTATTAATATACATTATTAATATACATTTTATTACTATATTAATAAAAGTACTCATGATAATAACTTTGAAAGATACTTGTAGGGGCAGTCCACAAATACTTCAATTAATAATTTTTTAAAAGGTTAAACATCGTAACCGTATGATCTGATTAAAAGATGTACGTGCAAATTATCAATTTAACTATCAGATTATACAGATGCAGTTATAGTAATATTATATAAATATAAAAATCAACCGTATCAATATATAAAGTTTTAAATTGAAAAATATTCACATAATTTATTAGAAAAGCAAGTAACAAAATTACGAGCATTTCGAATAATGAGTAACACATCAAGTATTTTCTAATTTTAATGTGCATTAAATGTCAACTTGTTTCCAAACTTCTACCTTCGAATTTGCTTTTAATGTTATTTAAAGTATCAAGTTTAAAAAACAAAACGGTAAGTTTTCAACTTTGCAAGTTTCTTGTATTACAACATTAGTAGTTACGTTGTTGTTTCGTACATAATGTTACTATATACACGCTTCTTAACACTTTATCGACCGCTAGCCTATTTATCGGCTTTTCGATTGCCAATGTTTATCGATCGCTAGCCTAGTAATCGGCTTTTCGATTGCCAATGCTTATCGACCGATAGCCTATTAATCGACTTTTAGCTATCGACGGTTTTCGCTTCTTTACTGTTTTGTTAGTAGCTGACCTCCTGTATGCTGACCTCCCCATATCCTTATGAATTATAATTATAATAATTATTATTATTTATTATTGTTTTTAAAGGAATAAGCACAACACAATGAATAGCGAAAATTTAGCCGGTACTGGGAGCAAATGCGCGCGCGACTAAGCCAGTCCTTACTGAGTGGCAGCCTCAACCACGACCGGACGATAAAGTGTTAATAAAGTGATGTATTATAATTTAATACGTCATTACGATTATGTAAATATGTTTATGTTATTATTTATAACAAACTCCGTAAATTCAAAGAATATTGACAATCGTATCGCAAATATTGTTACACTTATGATGAAATTGCTCAACTTCCAAGCGAGGCTGTGTCTGGCTAGTACTGACCACTGAAGTGCCTGGCAGTAGGCAACCATGACAACAGTCAGACAGTAGCGATACAGCAGTAGTATATCGTCAGGCGCGCATAATTTTAAGCCTACACCGTCGGTAACTTAGTAATACGCGTATCGACGATGTTAAATAAATTTTTTCAAATTCTAGAAACAAGTGTCAAATATATTGTTATCTTCCAACTTATTAAAAACATCTTGTACTTGTCAATAAAATATTTTTAATTTCT